ACATGTATGGTTTTAGCGTTAGTAATGTTCACGTTCGATCGCGATTAGACACATTTGTCTAAAAAAAACTACTGGTCGTATCAGGGGATCCCAAAACGTCTATTTTGGTTGAAATGTCGAACTCGATTTTCCGCCAGCATTACATAACTTTTCCCGCATATTTACTATGTATAATAACTTCGTATTTATGGAGGCAATACAAAGTATTATACGTACTGATACGCATACGGAAGTAAAGAGAACTTTGTTAGAAACACGTGATCGCACTCCAGCGCATTGTACACAAACGCTATATTTTTAGACAAGTTTTACACAAATAAAATTATTATTTAGAAAATTTTACCTTCCCTGATATTATATTGTAATAGTAATGAACATCTTTTACAACACCTAGACTCACACATTCGTTTTCAAACCAGCACTCTCGGTCTTAACTGCAGTGGAAATATGCACCACCGTGAGACGATAAGGGACATCCTTCCAAAACGGGCAACTTTACACAAAGCCAAGTGTACAATTTTGAGCGAACAAGTCTCTCTAAATATCCTATGCACCACTTATCTCCAAACATCACTAAAGAAAACATATACCAATGTTGTCAATAAATTGATTAAACTATATGTACTTCCAATAACACGCGAAAATTTATAAAATTAAGTTTCACTAGGTTATCAGACGAAAGCCACAGTGGAAATACACGGGTTAGTCCTCCGCGCGCACTGATTTTTGCTCGTTCTGCGAAACATCAATTGGCGTCACGAACCACGTGACTACAGCACGGGCACTTCTTTTAAAAAACCCAGGCCAGACGCTGGCCGCCATGTTGCATGGGAGCGAGAAGTGTTGAGAATTCATTTTGAAAGTGGTACAAAGTGAAAATTTTCATCGTAACCAACCAAAAAATGGGCGTCAAATGGGTTTGGTGGGGAGTACCGATGCCCCATAGGTGCTCCCACGATAAATTACCGATGTACTTACCCGCTAACAGGATCCCGATTTGGGAGCAAGGGTCAGCAAGTCCTTTCTCTCTCTCTCCTCCGCGTGGTGCGGCCCTGGATACTTTCTGGTGGTGAGAAGCTCACAGGGTAACAAATGGAAAGTTACGAAAGGCGAGTCTCTGCGCCTCAAAACGAGAGCACAGGATTTAAGGGAAAAGAAAATCTCACAGAAAAACCAAGGGGGAGGGGGGTCCTCGTAGGCGTAGAGAAGCCAACTACTCTACTTAAAATTCCTTCGCATGATTAGGCGCTATGATGTTTACCTACACCAACGACAGATGACGTTTTGAAAAAAAACAACACTTTTCCGGTATCAGGGGACCCCACTACTTCCGTTGAAATTCTTCGAAAACGATTTCCTGAAGCATTATGTAACTTTCTCTAAACTATGTATATTACTCCTGTGTAAATGCGTACGTA